ATATATTTTAAATGGCAGATAAAAATATAAGCATTTCAAATATACACACAGAATGAATCAAATTTGATATGCCTGTATTGTTTGTATACAAACTGTGGCATATATTTACCCATACAAACTATATACAATAAAATGAAACGGTTAAACAGATTTTGTAAGTCACCTTGAAAAACCGCCAATATTTTCCATTTAAAAAGACTAGAGTGGAGTTTAAAGGGTAGTACAATGTAATCAACATGATTTGGAAGTCTGATAGAATATTTTAACCATGTTTTCTTTTATTAAACCCGTTGACAAATATGATTAGATTAGCATTGGGAAAAAAAATACTTTGGGCTAGAATGTTATGTCATAGATTCATAGTATGGGATGATTTATCTCTTGCTAAATTGTGGAATTATTGTTAATTCAGTATCTTAGTTTACATGTAAATTGTAGATTGTTAGGAACTATGAATAAACAGTATATAGAAACAATTGCAGTTTGATTAACACTAACTTGGTGCTTGTGCGTGTATATATATAATATATATGTGTGCGTGTTTACATAAATATTATGATACATAATATACACATATGTGATATTGTATGTTAATTATACGTTTTGGTAATTAACAGTAAAAAAACCTAATTAATGGTCTGATACAGAATCTATGTGACTTGTACTGTCAATATAAAGTTAGAGGATTCGTTATATACTGGGTGTATACTTGTATTTCTCAGGATGCCTTGTATGTTGGGGGGTATTGGTAAGTTGTTGTTGTTTTTTTATTTGCAATTTTCATAATGATATAATACCCTGTTTAATATGAGAATAACTGGAGATTAACCATTGTACAAATTTTTACATAATTATTTGATTATGTTTATATACATGTACATTACTGCATAGCACATACTTGTAAATTATATTTTGTATAGTGGATCTCCGTTTGCTCCATAAGAAATTGTCCATAGTGACTTCAGGGAATTTTTTTTTTGCTTATTTTATAACTGATATTTGGTCATGTTCCCAACTGAAAATAGCATAATCCACAGGAAAAAATTCCCAATTGAAAGTTACAAAATAAAAATATTGAATTACTGTTAACAAATTCTTAAATATTTAACAAATTCTTAAATCTTTGAAAATATGGGATTCTTCACTTTTATTGTGCTAAAATGTTTGAAGATGCCATCCTAGACAGTGATTCTTTTCATGTTCCCCAAATCCTGGAAAAAACCCTGGAATTACAGAGATTTAAATACCATGTTATAATATGAATGAAGTCCATTAAGGAGAGCATCTAGGGTTGCTGGTTTGAACCTAAGTGGGTGATGTGAAATTTCTCAATGTTTAATGATCCCAGTTATTTATTCAAATGGTGATTTGTCTTTCATAGCTAATTAAGAAATTTTTTGGGTAAGTAGTCATTCACTTGCAGTGAAATGCCATTACTTCAGTGAAACCCCATAAGCCATCAATATAGTGAACCCCATAAGCCATCACTACAGTTAAACCCCATAAGACTTCACTACAGTGAAACCCAATAAGCCATGACTACAGTGAAACCCCATTAGCCATGACTACAGTGAAACCCCATAAGCCATGACTACAGTGAAACCCCATAAGCCATCACTACAGTAAAACCCCATTAGCCATCACTTCAGTGAAACCCTCTTAAGCCATGATCACTACAGTGAAACCCCATAACCCATCACTTCAGTGAAACCCCATAAGCCATCACTACAGTGAACCCCCATAAGCCTTCACTACAGTGAAACCCCATAAGCCATCACTACAGTGAAACCCCATAAGCCATCACTACAGTGAAACCCCATAAGCCATCACTACAGTGAAACCCCAGTAGCCATCATTTCTGTGAAAATGCAGAAGCCATCACTACAGTCAAACCCAATATGCCATCACTTCAGTGAAACCCCATAAGCCATTATTTGTAATTCATTGGTAAAAGAGTCGATGACTTCTAATCCAGTTACCTCTCTGATGAGGGTTCGGTCCCTGGGAGATGCTTTGGTAGTTTAGCACAGAGGAAGGTAGTCTAGTCACGCCCGTTTAACTCACAACGAGTGAAAAATGTCCATCGGTAAAAATGTTGTGAGCAACTTCCATTCCTTGTTGTGAGCACCCATCTTTGACGTGTGACACGATAAACAAGGTGAGTTTTTCATAATTTTTGAAGATTACAGACATTTATGTAAAATTATCGGAATGCAGTTAGCTAGCGATGTGTTTTCCGAGTATGCACATGTAAAGATATTGTCTGTTGGTGGACAATTTGATGGAAATACCGTGCGACGCAGTCACTCGGGGTAGCTGGAAAACTGGAGACAATTTCTCTTTGGACCTAATTTAACATTGAAAACGTCGATTCTGGTGACGTTTTGTGCATTCTAACCTAAAACAAATGCCCACAAGTCTTCAGCGTAAATTATTATCTGAAAGTCTTCGTAGAGACGAAGATATACTCTTTTTTGCTTTAATCCTCGTTGTGAGCACCATAACCTCGTTGTGAGCAAGACAAGCGCAGTGCTTGTCTGGTTTTAATATGTAATTCAAATGGCAAGAATACAATTTTCGATCTACCAAAAGCAATCAAAACGTTTTTGTACAATAGTTTTTCTTTGCAATAGTTCTTCTTTTTCTTTTTTTGAAAATTATTCTTCATATTCACAAGTCATAACTAATCAGTGGAGGTAAATCAGGTATTTTATTTCGTATACTCTAGTGTGGCACGAGTGAACATCACGGGCTGTTTATGAATATTTCAACAATATCACGATCTGTGTGATACACACATACATGTGTTTATCCTGAGCTGAAGACTGACCAAGTTATGTAAAACAAGAACTATCACGGTAAGCTGACAATGCCCCTGAAGTGGTGCTTTGTCCTTTGATTTATGGACCAGATAGATTATTTGTTTTTGGACAATTATATCTTCAATGTGAAGGTAATTCAAGGTCAAGGATGAAATAAATATAGGTCAGTTGGAAGGTCTTGTCCAAAAGGGGCATTGTGTCCAAATATGAATTAATTCCACTTACTTATAAAGAAGTTATGACCAATGTTAAAGTCTTTGGATGTTCTAGAAGGTCATTCACGGTACAAGGTAAAAAAATACAGATCAATTTGAAGGTCTTGCCTAAAGGGGTGTTGTTTCAAAATATGAGTAGAATCCCTATACTAATAAGGAAGTTATGACCAATTTTTAAGTTTTTGGACAATTTGACCTTCAAGGTGAAGGTCAGTCAGGGGTCAGGGTCAAAAGAATATAGGATAGTTGAAAGGCCTTGTCCAAAGATGTGTTGTGCCTAAACATTATGCCAGGACATTATGGCCAATCTTAAATGTTTTTGGACAATTTGACCTTCAAGGTAAAGGCCATTCAGGGGTCAAGGTAAAAAAATACAGGTACATAGGAAGGTGCTAAGGGATGTTGTGTTCAAATATGAATCAAATCCGTTTACTAATAAGGAAGTTATGGCCAATGTTAAAGTTTTCGGACAGATTGACGGACTGACAGACGGACAGTTCAAAACTAATATGCCTCCCTTTGGGGTATGCACAACGTCTTGCAAAGAAATGCTGCTGTGCAAAAACGTTTTAATTGCTGTGGTAGATTGAAAATTATATTTTCACCATCTGAATTACATATTAAAACCATACACGCACTGCGCTTGTCTTGCTCACAACGAGGTTATGGTGCTCACAACGAGGATTAAAGCAAAAAAGGGTATATCTTCGTTTCTATGAAGACTTTCAGATAATAATTTACGCTGAAGACTTGTGGGCATTTGTTTTAGGTTAGAATGCACAAACGTCACCAGAATCGACGTTTTCAATGTTAAATTAGGTCCAAAGAGAAGTTGTCTCCAGTTTTCCAGCTACCCCGAGTGACTGCGTCGCACGGTATTTACATCAAATTGTCCACCAACAGGCAATATCTTTACATGTGCATACTCGGAAAACACATCGCTAGCTAACTGCATTTCGATATTTTTACATAAATGTCTGTAATCTTCAAAAATTATGAAAAACTCACCTTGTTTATCGCGTCACACGTCAAAGATGGGTGCTCACAACGAGGAACGGAAGTTGCTCACAACTTTTTTACCGATGGACATTTTTCACTCGTTGTGAGTTAAACGGGCGTGCTAGTACTGGTGTAACTCTCAAGGAACTATGGTTAGGAAACTACCCGCCTATATGACTGAAATACTGTTGGGTAAAGGCGTAAAATGAAACAAACAAACAAACATTGGTAAAATTTTGTTATATAAACCAAAATTTTTAAATCTCTTTGATTTGACATTAAAAAGTATGAAGCATTTTAAGCAATACCATCTATAGATATTTTGGAACAGTCCATTAGTAGCAATAGGACATACCTGAAAGGAAATATCAATAAGTGAAAGGTGCTGAAGTATCAGAATGCTATAATTGAGTATCCACAGTATAGTGTTTAGTCAGACTGAATGGAAGTAACAGCTGGCCTGAGTTTGTATTGCCATTATATCTTATATAGAGAAAAGTCTCCTAAAACAGTTTGATTAACTTTTGGAAAAAAAATACTCAAAAAAAAATCAAACAAAGCCTTATTACATTTGTAAGGGAGATAACTGGGTGAGAAAGGATGAATTAAGAAATTTGAGTTAATGTTCATGACCAAATACATTTTTTAAAAAAAAAATCAGTTTTATTTTTTATCTTGTTTACAAGGTTTGGAAGATAGATGTATGCATCTGTAGGTAAAAGCAAAGGCAGATTTAGAAAATATTTAGAGCAATACTGATGTTGTTGCTAAGCAGACAGACATTAAGGTGAAATTAACTAGGTGCTAATGAAATATTTATGATAGACTGGTATATGTACTTTGTACTGAAGATATGTCCGTTTAATTTGTATTTTCATATGTTATGGATGTTTTGTTTCAAAGGAGAAAACAAATGAATATATATAAATAATATATGGAAATAACAGAATATAGATCAAAGCAAATTGAAGCAGATCTACTATGAGTACTTAATGACCTCTGAGCAGAAGTATTTTTTTCTTCACATTGAAGGTCAAAGTTGTTAAGACAGAGTGATTTCCCTTGGTGAACCAGTCAAGGTCGCATTTCTATTTATAGATTCAGCAGCTGATATTTATTTACATTCAGTCGTTCAATTTTAATATGGCTTTGTTTGAACTTATGTAGATCATCGAAGGAAAGTAGATTCATTGAGGAAAATCTTCTGTGGGGGAAGTTATTGGATAATTGGGTCATTATAAGACTTCCTGCTAAAAATAAAAAAGATTTTAAAATATAACTGTTAAATGTTCAGAGAATTGTGCACTGTATTTATTAAAGTTATTAAAGTTCACTTTTTATACAGGTGATATTTTCATAGGAATGGAATGTAAAGATGCGATATACAATATACATGTATTACAAAGTGATTGTGAAACGATTTTGTGAGAGTTATATATTTGCTTAAACATCTTTGAGTGAATATTTGAAAGATCCTGCATAAAATCATTGGATTATATGAGTAAAATACATTAATTATACATGTAACATTCCAAGAGGTTAAAGGTTAAATGAATGATATGTTTTTTCATTCCTTAATAAGTAACTAAATAACCATCTTCTAGTTCAATTTGCATTTTAGTATTTTTCTGACTTTTGCATTTTCTTTTTTTTAAAGGGTAATGAAATTAAGAGAATATTTTTTATGAATGGGTTGTAAGGTTAAATGAACTTGATGGGTACACTATGTTTTGGGAAAAGAATTTTATATGCATGATAATTAAGTAAGCTTGGGCATATCTAATATACACACAGATTATTTTTAAATCAGATGAAATGTCATACATTTCTACCATCAAATGATCTTCATTTGTTGTATGGTTATTATTGGTGCATGAACAAATTTGCTGACGCTAATACGATAATTTTATTTATATTTTATACTATGTAGTGATATTTGGTCTTTACATCCGCAATAACTTGATGATCAGTGTTTATTTAAGCTGTAAATTTCTACCTGGGTTAAAATAATGAGTAAATATTGTCTTATTTTGCAAGTTTACAGGAAATGTAATTTTTCGGGATAAATGTGGTAGGGATACATAAATACAGGATATGTCAGTACTGTTGAAGAACACTGTATTTTGCAGTCAATCGATGATGCAATGACATAGCTTATGTTAGTGTAGTATCATAAGTTTGTCATTCAAAAATTTTATGATATTCTACACATACTTATATACTAACAAAACTCTCAAGTGTGGATAATTCTAAATTGAAGCAGTTCACGGTTTAAAAATTGATTGGTTAGGACTTGAAAGGGAAGGAAGAAATTATTTTGATTGAAATTATAGATTATTATTAAAGTAAAGATGAATTCAGCTTTTACGTCAAATCTGCCAAAATCACACCGACATGGGCGATGCGGATCAGGTATATTTTATTAGTTTATCATATTTTGTGTTTTATCTTCTTTTCTTATTGTCTTTTTTTGCCCTACTTATATAGAATGATAAACTTAACCAGCTGGTTTAGTTGGTAAATATAAAAAGGAAGTGTTTTCATTTTAACACTTGTATATCTTTAGTTATTTATATATTAGTTATTTATAATATATATTTTGTAAGCAAAATTGCATATTTTAATTGAGTTTTGCTGCACCATTTCTAAATGTATGTACATATGATATAATGGTACCATTTCTTTGCATGTACATATTTGAGTATGATTTTTTAGGGTTACTAAATTTATTGAAAAAATTGTCTATGAGTAAGATGCTTTATTTCAAATTACGGGCCTGTGTGGCGGAGTGGTAAAGCTTGCTGCTGACTTCACATCACTTGTTTCTTAACTCTTTATGTTTGAAATTCCACCAGGCATGTGAAGAAGGTTACAATCCAGCCTAGCTTTGAACAGGTTGGTGTTTCTACTCCAGTGTCGGCTCTGAGCTTGTGCTTGAAGTAATGTACATGGTTACAGGACACTTGAGGTTTTCCTCCAACAATAAAGCTGGAACATGACACCAGATGGCCTTTACAGTGTTGGTGTGATCTTGAACCAAACAGACGGGCAAACAATTTCAAATTATTTACTGGTTTAAAGTAGGGTTTGTTTGTTTGTTTGTCACCTGTTTTGATGTGATTGAGAGGGAAACAAATAGCCCTAAGCCTTAGATTACCTGGTGATTGTCTATTTATGGCCTGAGTTTTAATTTTGACCTGTTTAAGTAACAGGTGGTCTTTATGTACAATTGATCTGTTTAAACAGGTGTTAACCTGAGTTTTATACCAAGGTCATTGACAAAGGTTGTTTCTGTACTTTTTCTTTGTTTTTTTCTTCCTCAGAATTGTAGGAATGAATGCAGAAAAAGTCAATGGCATATAAACAATAATATGTCATCTATCAGATATATAAAACATTTTCTCTACATTTTTATCATTCTTGCAGACTGAACAATCTTGTCTCACTAGATAAATGTGATATATTGTTGATATTTTCCTGATTCTCCCAGTTATACCATACCCTGAATGTTTATAATGGGTTGTTTGTCTTGCTTTGTTTTTGAGGAAATGTTCATTGTTAGTTTATAATGATTTCAAAATGGAATATTAAAATTGAGCCGCCAACATACTCTATAAGTCTTGATCAAGATGTCTGTTTTGCAGTTTAGTAATTCGCTCTAACAAATTGGTACATACACTTTGTCTCCCAGGTTAAGCTAAATAGGGAGAGAGCACCAGATTCGTAATTGAAAATTCAAGGGTATAAACATTTTTATACGCTCAAACTCATATCTAAGGTATTTGATTGGTCAGAAACCGGCTCAGAATGTTCACTGACCAATGAAATTCTGGATCTCAGAAAAAAAATTTGTAACCATGAGGCCAGTTGGTACTGGTTTGATTCATTGGCGGGGCAAAATTTCTCAAGTGAGAATTAAATCACGGAAGGGTTTTGTTCCTTTTTGCCCCTTAAAATTATTAAGTTGGAAAATGAAGCTGTTGACGATCTTCAGCTTTTACACATTTTGGTTTTATTGCAAACTGTTTGAATTCTGTTCATACTAATATTTCTGGAACACTATCACAATTTGAAGATTCAGACAGGTTCGGTAGATGATGTTAATTGGAAACAATTCTTTGCACCATGAATTTCCTATACTGTTCCATATTGCATTGCTTGATGTCTGCCAGAAATCAAAGTCAGGAAAAACCATTAAAATAATTATGTACAGTCTTAGAAAGTTAACATTAACATTTTTAGTGCATTTTCCATATTTGGAAGCAATTTATCATATTTGAAATTATTTTCAAATTTCTTGGTTCATAACAGAATTTAAGGGGGAAAAAGTTGAAGAGTAAAAGACTTAAAAAACTCCTGCTCTGACTTAATATAATGCTTGACTGTCCTTGAAATCTGTACTCTTCGTTCTTAATTGGCTTACTTTTAAAGTTTCAAGCTTCAGTCTTACTCAGTGATTGATGAATGTAAAAGGCTTGTTAATAATTGATGATTCATCAATACTCAAGCTTGCTAAACAGTGATTGATAAATACTCTAGCTTGTTTAACTTGTTTTCTAATGACTGATGAAAACTGAGAGTTATTTTAGACTTATTGATGAGAAAAAAGTCAAGGTATGTTTGCAAATGATTGTTTAGATTTGTTGATACTTATACTAATATTATTACTGGATTAAGTCATTTACTTCAAACCACTTGCCCCTCACCACTATGGGCTCACAGTCTGCCAGCGAACTTAATGTGTAGAATATTTCAAGCTTGCTTATAGACCCTTGGTGGTTTAAAGCTTAGGTACCCACTTGGGCCTAAAATAATGCACAGAGGGGCACCTGAGATCTTCCTTCATCAGCATAATTCACAGAGGGGCACCTGAGGTTTAACTCCACCAGTTAAGCTAGAAAGTACCTACATATACAGTGCCAATGTGACTTATATTTCAACCACCAGAAAGGTTTCTAATAATTGATAAGCCATGTTTTCTAATGATCGATAAGCCATGTTTTCTAATAATTGATATGGAATGTTTTCTAATGGTTGGTAAAGAATGTTTTCTAATGATTGATAAGGAATTTTTTCTAATGATTGATAAGTCATGTTTTCTAATGATTGATAAGCCATGTTCTCTAATGATTGATAAGCCATGTTTTCTAATGATTGATAAGCCATGTTTTCTAATGATTGATAATCCATGTTGTCTATTGATTGATAAGCCATGTTTTCTAATGATTGATAAGCCATGTTTTATAATGATTGATAAGCCATGTTTTCTAATGATTGATAAGCCATGTTTTCTAATGATTAATAAGTCATGTTTCAAAATTGATTGGTAAGCCATGTGTTCTAATGATTGATAAGCCACGTTTTCTTGATCAATAAGCTATGTTTTATAATGATTGATAAGTCATGTGTTCTAATGATTGATAAGTCATGTTTCAAAATTGATTGGTAAGCCATGTTTTCTTGATAAGCCATGTTTTCTTGATCGATAAGCTTTGTTTTATTATGATTGATAAGCCATGTTTTCTAATATAAGCCATGTTTTCTAATGATTGATAAGCCTTGTTTTATAATAATTGATGAGCCATGTTTTCTTATGATTGATAAGCAATGTTTTCTAATATAAGCCATGTTTTCTCATGATTGATAAGCCTTGTTTTCTAATGATTGATAAGCCATGTTTTCTAATCTAAGCCATGTTTTCTAATGATTGATAAGCCTTGTTTTATAATAATTGATGAGCCATGTTTTCTTACGATTGATAAGCAATGTTTTCTAATATAAGCCATGTTTTCTAATGATTGATAAGCCATGTTCTCTAATGATTGATAAGCCATGTTTTCTAAAGATTGATAAGCCATGTTTTCTAATGATTGATAAGTCATGTTTCAAAATTGATTGGTAAGCCATGTTTTCTTGATAAGCCACGTTTTCTTGATCGATAAGCTTTGTTTTATAATGATTGATAAGCCATGTTTTCTAATATAAGCCATGTTTTCTAATGATTGATAAGCCTTGTTTTATAAAAATTGATGAGCCATGTTTCTTATGATTGATAAGCCTTGTTTACTAATGATTGATAAGCCATGTTTTCTAATATAAGCCATGTTTTCTAATGATTGATAAGCTTTGTTTTCTCATGATTGATAAGCCATGTTTTCTAATATAAGCCATGTTTTCTAATGATTTATAAGCCTTGTTTTCTAATGATTGATAAGCCATGTTTTCTAATATAAGCCATGTTTTCTAATGATTGATAAGCCTTGTTTACTAATGATTGATAAGCCATGTTTTCTAATATAAGCCATGTTTTCTAATGATTGATAAGCCTTGTTTTCTAATGATTGATAAGCCATGTTTTCTAATATAAGCCATGTTTTCTAATGATTTATAAGCCTTGTTTTCTAATGATTGATAAGCCATGTTTTCTAATATAAGCCATGTTTTCTAATGATTGATAAGCCATGTTTTCTAATATAAGCCATGTTTTCTAATGATTGATAAGCCTTGTTTTCTAATGATTGATAAGCCATGTTTTCTAATATAAGCCATGTTTTCTAATGATTGATAAGCCTTGTTTTCTAATGATTGATAAGCCATGTTTTCTAATATAAGCCATGTTTTCTAATGATTGATAAGCCATGTTTTCTAATGATTGATAAGCCATGTTTTCTAATGATTGATAAGCCTTGTTTTCTAATAATTGATAAGCCATGTTTTCTAATGTTTGATAAGCAATGTTTTCTAATGATTGATAAGCCATGTTTTCTAATGATTGATAAGCCATGTTTTCTAATGATTGATAAGCAATGTTTTCTAATGTTTGATAAGCAATGTTTTCTAATGATTGATAAACCATGTTTTCTAATGATTGATAAGCCTTGTTTTCTGATGATTGATTAGCCTTTAATCAATATTTCTGAGCTTATTTTCAAATGATTCTCTTGACTGATCAAGCCAGTTTTGTAATGGTGAATCAATTATACAATTCATTATTCTACATTAAACTGGAATTAGTTCAGGCTGAGGAAATCTGTGATATTCTCATGTAATACAAAAATCTGATAATGTATGTTTTTGTTTTGCTTGTACCTTAGGTGTAAAGTCTCATGGATTTTGTCTGTAAACACCTTCAGAAATAGTGGAATGTCTTCCAATAGTGCATAAAAAATAACCAAAAGACAAATTGTTTATTTTATTGTATCTGTCTGAATCTAGTGTAGTAATGTTGTTTGTATCTCTGCTTTGTCATGACAATTGTTGCTAAGTTACCATTGACTTTCCACTTTGAGACTGTCCCATGTACATGTATTTTTTTCATTTTTATTCATTGGATTGAAGGAGCTCAAATGTCATGTCCAAAGGCATAGAACAATAAAATTTTAAATTCTTACGTATATCAACCTGGGCAGTTAATAAGGATAAATATGCAAAAGATAATGAAATAATTTACTCAGAATCAAATTAAAATCAACTTTTTGGTGTGATTCTTATAACATTTGAAATTAAGTTTAAAAGTCTTTTCACATTTTGGTTACTTTGCACAGTTAGAATGATTATTCTGGAAAAACAGAGTGAGTGAATGATCTAAAAATTTTGTGCAGAATTTATTGATCCAGACTTTCTTCAAGTGGTACAGAAACCTTGCTAAAGTATTTCCAGTCCCATCATGTAAGAAAACTGCCGTGGAGTGACCCTTTAATAGTCTACCGATTTCTTTAATTGTCTGTGATTCATCCACTGATCTCTCTGTATTTTCTGTAATTTCTTTAAAAGTACAATACATTAATTTTTCTGAATAACAAATCAGTTTTGACCAAACTGTGAAGACCATCTCTGCTGTTTTTGTAATAATCGTACAATGACCTTTGAAATATGATTTAAATAAAAATTATACTCAGTAGAAAAACAGGCAAATGATTTTTAGGTTTATATATGTTGATAAGAAAATGCTGTCAAGTGTGAAGTATGGAATGTCAGAAAGTTGTTCATTTAGGATGAAATCAAATCTACAGTCTCAGACTTTACTTGGAAGTGACATTACCTAATTTGTAATGCCTCCGCCAGAGTAAGTAACGATGGACCTGATTATTGAATGCCATTGAAGTACAAAGTGTGCCAACCATCTTTTTTCATGCACACTGACTAGCCTCTGTCGACAGCTTAATGTTAACATATTGATACATATAAAAATGTATTGACAGCTGTTAAAATGATGTATAATCAGTTCAAAATTCAGAGCAAGAAATGTTGTGGTGTTGTAGGTAAAAATCTCAGTCAAGGTTACCAATGACTTAAAAATATCTTAAATGTCAAGAATTCTGTTTTGTGGGATGGTTAATTTCCAGTACTTGCTGAGTGATGAAAAAATCTTGACATTAGATTAATTATCCAAAAGACTTGGCATGCTACGAGAGTCTGTAAACACTTTCTTTGTAGCTTTTATTTATAGGTCTGTATTTGTTTACTATCAGAGCCAATAGATAGAATACAATTATTTCTATTGGTCTGATTCAAATTTATGAAATTCAAATTAGCCAATCAGAGTGTGATGGGCTTTGAGATTATGATTGTTCTCTGAAATGAAAATTTCAGTGTCTTTGTTGAGATGGTACCAGCAGAGACGAGTAATAATGTGAATATGTTTGACAATGTATTTCATAATTTGACAGTTTATTATTATTTTCTTTTTTGTTGTGATTTTTCAGCATCATGTCCACATATGGTACAAGCCCCAACTGTCATCTCGATGGTGGGTCTGCCAGCACGTGGGAAGACTTACATGTCAAAGAAGCTGACAAGGTACCTGAATTGGATTGGAATTAGAACAAAGGGTAAGATTATACTGGTCACATGAAAATATTTACTTTATTGCTTATTCTGGAAAAACTGAGGTCATCAGGACAGCAGTTAAAAACTTGCTGATATAATTGATGTCATAGCCTGATTGTATGATTTAGGTTTATAATCTTAAGATGTGTAACTTGTTTTTCTTTTCTTTTTTTAAAATTAATAAATAGTTGTATTGTTCATGCTCAGTTTTTAAATAACACCATTTTTTACCAGAAGAACCTCATGAATTGGAATTATATATAGCTGTAAATATCCATTATTTTCACATGATTTTAAAAATAATTTTTATAACTCTTTATCTTGCTTGAAATTAGAATCAGGATATATTCATTCTAAATCAAACACTAAGGTTATATAATGGTAGTTCCACACCTTCCATGCTAAAATGTTGAAGGTTCAAGTTTCACTTTTATCATTTTTACTATTGCTTACTTCATATGGATAAAAGTACAATGCATGTATTCTTTATCAAACGCTAAGTTTATGTAAAAGTTTCCACACCTTTAATGCTCAAAGTTTCAAGTTTCAGTGTAAAAACTTAATATTTTGCTGACTTCAGATGGTTAAAAGTACAATGATGTGCAATTATTTGGTCAAATTGTTTATATGAAACTTGATTGTTGTCTAACCAAAATGGTTTAAAAAAGCACAATTTGGCTGTTAATGACATGTTCTTTCTTTCTGATATTTACCTCATTCCAACTGGATTAACTTATACCTGTCTATAAAAGGATAAGAGAAAAACAGTCACAGAAAATCATTAGAAAAGCTTTAACTTTTATCATAAAAGGCACTAAGATGCCCATCTTGTATGGTCTCAATTTTTCGTTAAATTTTGACATAGCTATGATAGAAACAGTAACAGTGATATTTTTTACAAGAGTTGCATCAGTATTATTCAAGTATAATTATTCATGTTGCTGTTGCTGCAATGGTATGCATTCCATTGCTTTTTTCTTAGATATGGAAATGGCTTAAAGCTTTTTCTATAGGTAACCTTTTCTATACGTAGTAGTTTATTGTAAATAATGGTAAACGAACCCCAGAGTGAAATATTACATGTAAGCAGATGACAGACATTGCATAATTTCCAATCATAGTGTAGACATGCAGATGACATTAATCATAAATTATGAATGTTATCCTAGTTTAAATATTGATAACATAGAATAATCGGTATATTTTAGTACTTGATAAAAGATTACAATGTATTATCTGTGAAAATATAGTGCTAAATATACAGATAACATAGAATTATCTGTAAATTGCAGTGCTAGATATACAGATAGCATAGCATTTTATACGAATTGTAACACCAGAAAACAAACAGATTACATTACTAAAACTGTAAGTTGTAGTACATGATATGCAGATAATATTGCATAACCTACAAAAAAATTAAAGTGCTAGGCATGCAGATGACATTGCATTATCTGCAAATTGTAATGCTAGATATGCAAATGGCATTGCATAATTTGCAAATAGTAGTGTTATATATGCAGATAACATTGCATAATCTGCAAATTGTTTGTAGTGTTGGATATGCAGATGATGTTGCATAATCTGCAAATTGTAGTGTTAGGCATGCAGATGGCATTGCATAACATGCATATTGTAGTGTTAGATATCCAAATAACATTACATAATCTGCAAATTGTAGTGTTAGGCATGTAGATGACATTATGCATAACCTGCGAATAGTAGTGCTAGATGTGCAGATGACATTGCATAACCTGCAAATTGTAGTGTCAGATATGCAGATGACATTGTGTAATTTGCCAATCATAGTCCTAGGTATGCAAATAATATTGCATAGTCTGCAAATTGTAGTGGTAGACACACAGCTGACATTGCATTATCTGCAAATTGTAGTGTTAGATATGCAGATAACATTGCATTACCTACAAAAAACTTTGTAGTGCTAGACATAAAGATGATATTGCATAATATGCAAATTGTAATGCTAGACACGCAGATGATATTGCATTGTCTGCAAATTGTAATGCTAGACATTACAGATAAGATTGTAAAATCTGTTAATTGTAGTGCTAGATAATTATGCAGATGTCATTGCAAAATTATTTTGCTACATATGCAAATAACAGTGTCTTATGATATGCAAGATTATACTGATGTATGACACTGATTTTGTTAAAGACTGCCAATCTAAGTGATTCCTGTACGAAAATGCCTACCCTGACTACACCCTGATTTGACATGGGATAAGACATTTATTTCCAGCCAGGTTTTTTAAGCTATTCAGTTGACTATAGAGAAGACAGAAATCTATTTTTAGATTTTTTAGTATACAATATATAGTGTTTTCAGGGTGGATTCAACGAAATATTTAAATGAGCCAGAAAAAATACCACCCAGAAATGGAAATCCAGGGCAGAATTTTCACTCACACAGATTTCTAAAAATAGATTTACTTCTAGTTAAATTGAGAGCAATTTCAGGGTGGGATAAATTTGAAATATTTAAATGAGCCATAATTCACCCTGATTTCTGTTTAAAAAGTCAGGCCAGACTTTTTTCCTCCTGTTATTATCCCGCTCTAAAATTTTGCAAATCCCACCCTGAAATTAAAATAAAAATCCACCTAGATTCCTGATCATTTTAGAACCAGCCCAAAAAAATATTCTTAAATACATCGCATCATATAATGAGCATTATGTATTTTAGAATAATAGGTGATAAAAAATAGCTCATAACAAACAAACAAATTAATTTGATGAACATTATGCTGAATTGATCATCTTCACAATTCAGTGGTGGCTATTTGCTTATAAATTTTCATCCATAATATTTGACAAAATAATAATTAATTCAGAATTTTGTTTCACTTATCTGTATTTGATTTTCATACAATTAAATACATTTCAAAAGTCATTCTTGTTTGATATTTCCACTAGATATCTGCCAGCTGTATTACATAATTCCACTGCTACACAATCTGTAAACATATAAAATAAATAAATATATGAAAGCATTGTAGGAATATGCTATAGACAACTTTCAATTCATAATACATTAATCTATAAGAAAATGTTACACCTTAATATAGAGAAATATGACCATACAGTGTAGTTTTAAAGGTATATTGCATTAATTGCAATCAAAACATCAAAAGAACAAATGATTGATGAAATTATTTAAAGAAGCTCCAGCATTATAGACATATATGTACTGACTTTATGAAGTCATTAATACTATGATATTTGCAGGGATGAATACTTTTGATAATTAAAACTGAAACTAATTTTGATAGAATTAAATGAAGAAAATAAAATTACCAGTAATATTTCTTCCATTGTATTCTTTTGTTCTGCAACTACACCATTTTATTCTGCTTCATCCTCTTGTCACATGTTACTGAAATATTTGGCTTCAACCTAAATTTTGGATGTAGAAAAAAAAAACAAATATGCAATCATGTTATAATTTTTAATTCATTTTAAGACTTCAGTGTTTTTTTTCTAGAATGGAATGATCAAAATGTATAGTTTATTTTAGAAAAATTAAGAATGATTTCTATTTTCCCTCCATATTTTAAAACAGGTTTCCTTGAAATTTATTTAAAATCTTTTCAGAATACTGGGCTTACAAAATTCATTATTATATGAAATATTAAAAATATCAAGAACTACATGTAATTTAATTATAACTTACCATTTATCTGTCACAATTGGCTGCTAATTTCCCTCCATTTTTTTTTCAAAATGAATAACGAAGTTTAACACTATTATGCTCCATGTCATATATATGTTTAAGTTTCACAATAAATTTTCCAAGAAAGTTCTGTATCTCTAGGGAAGTTGAATTCTTAAATCTCATTATCTATATAATTATCAAAACTCATTTATATATTAATATATAAGTGTAAGATGATTTATTTGAATCAAATTCACAACTTAAGCCTCTAATCTTTCTAAAGAAAATGACCATGCTGGAAACAATTTTCAGGGTGTGATATTTGCTCTGGATTTTAAACTGCTGTCGGTCAATCTGTGCTAACTTCTCTATTTTCATCTGCCAGATAGCCCAGTTTAACATAAAGTATTTTGAAATACTGTATAAAGTTCCACTTGAAGGTTATTTGTTTATATAAACTGAAAGCTGACCTTAGACATTATGAGATTCTGTGCAGATTGTGAGATAGTGGATAAAAACTAAAAATCTTGAACATAACTTATTCAGCTGACCAATTTATGCATTAAATAAAAAATTGTTTGTCATAGGTTAAATATAGATACAATCAATTACTAGTAACAATTATCAATTTCATAGATAACAATAAATCATGTTGATTTAAATAATCCACATACAATGTATTAATTAAAAAAAAAAAGATAATTCAGTAAATGAAAATAATTTTTGTATAAAACATTTTTTTCTGAATTTAAAATTCAATTTTGTCTCAACAGCAATCTTATGTAAACTGTATTATTAGTGTACTGCAATATTCATTTCTAATAACTCTAAGTCAGAAAAATCAGGCTGGAAATGAAGAACTTTAAAGAATGTATTGAAACTGGTTCTTGAACATTTTCTAACTTTGAAATATCTGGGTAGATTTTGCTTATATTTCTCAAAGTCAGTAAAATCTGTGTCAAAATATTTTCAAAGTGCAAATATTCCTGCCTCCACCCTGACTTTTACCAAAATGAAGGCCAGGGTAGAAAAGACTTGAATTCCCATGTAAAATTTATTGAAAATTCAGGGTCCATGTCTATTTCACCCTGATTTTGCCAATTCTGGTTCAAAACAGGCCTGAATCGGTCCTGTTTTTCATAAAAGCCATGCTGATTTTTCGTACAGGTTCAACTGCAAGAAATCACGAATACTGCAGGCTTAGAAGAAGGGTCATTTATTGTGTCACATCATTTAAAAAAAACACATTCTTAGGTTAGATTTACTCATTATACCCCCACCACAAAATGTGGGGGGGGGGGCTATAATGGATTCGCTTTGTCACGTC